CCCCCCAGCTTCTGCACTGACAGGGAACATTATGACAGGGGACACTGATGGTCGTTATGTATTCCAAGCCCACATAATATCCATTAGTGTCCCCTGTCGTAATGTCTCCTGTCAATGCAGAAGCTCTGGGGCGGCATTAGCAGGGGCTTAGTAGAGAACTTGCAACGGTGCCCCTGCTGATGCTTCTGCACTGACAGGGGACATCATTACAGGGGTCACTGATGGACATTATGTACACCACCAACCGCCATAGTTTTCGTGGTTGCCTTCTCCTTTGGGGGGCTCGGGACCATGGCAGTTCATTAAGAATAGAGAGCGGGAGCAGGCCGATTCTGATCTGCTGTACTGATAGTGTTTCCTGTCTCAGCAGTAACAAGCTAGGCTGCACGGGAGATGGAGCACAATGCTGTGCTTGATCACCTGTGTTGGAGTGCAGGGGAGACATTAGGGGTCATTAGACCCCAGATGTTTCCATAAAGAGAACCTGTCACCTCAATACAATATCACATAGGTGCTTGTTAGCTCCTATGTAATAGTAATAAAGTTAAGGGGGAAAAAATTAGTCATAAAAAATAATTAAATAATTAAAAATTAAAACCAACCCCACCATTTGCATGAGAATAAACATGCGTGTGTGGGGCATTCATGTGTATGCACCAAACATGTTAGGCATCACCGCAAACCTTGGAGTGAGAGCAATAATTCTCGGGCCATAATTCATGGTTAACGCTAAACTGATGACCTGTACAGGCTTTTAAAACGTCACCTATGGACAATGTTGTGAAGCATAGTTTTTCGCCATTGCTGAGGTGCATGCAATTTTAACACTTGACATGTTTGGTATCCATTTACTCGATGTAACTGCATTTTGTATATTTCACCAAAAATGTGACCATGTGTCACATTATTTTGCCTGATAAAAGGGACTGGATCTGGCTCTTGTCAGTCATTATGGTGTCACCCCCTCTGATGGTATCTGTGTGGGCCACACATCCCTTGTGACTCCCCTGCCTGCAATACTGCCCCCACCCCCTACTAAAGCTCCAAACCACATACCCCCCACAATACAATTCCATACCCCCAATAATGTTTAAAATGTGCATATATATGTTGCTGAATACTGCACAAGTTGTTTTGTGTAATAAATGAAAATGTCTTAGAAATGAATCATTTTTGGGTCACGACTTAATGACCAAGGAAAAATGTGGGTCCCGAGGTTACACAGGTTGAGAACCACTGCCATAAACTAGATTATGGTACCGTAGATGCTTTCTATGTCCTGGCTATAGAACAGCAAGGGGGTCCAAAGTTGATGAGTAAAGCTGGCCATATACTGTAATAGAAATACTGAACAGGGCCGGTAGCTTATTGGCTGCCGACTCTGCTCGTTCAAAGTTTTTCTCCGACCGGGTCCTTCAATCAGCTGTTCGAGCCGATTCACCCACTGTGCAAATAAAAAATACTGCCAGGTCCAAAAGGGAGCAGACACCTCCACAACATACATTCAACTGCCTAAATATTTATTTAATAGAATAAAACACTTGCAAACGAAAAGGCGGCCAAGTTCAGTAGGTCTGTCACTATTACGGATAACATAAGAGAATATAACAAAATTTGAATTTAAGGACAGATCCAGAGTGCTAGGACAGATTGATTCATGTGTGGTTGAAGTACTTAAACTAGGTTGGAGGGAAATCTAAATAATATTTTGGAACCACAAGTCCACAGGTTTTGGGCACAAGATTCTAAGCACAAAAAGATCAGAATTTGTGATCAGGGATTCGTACCATGAAAAGGCCAAATTAGTAGGTGGTATCCCAAGGTTTTGGGATTAAAAGTAGCATTACAAGAACTAGAAATTATACATAGCTGTATTCTTTATTCTATATTGTCTAAATTATGTAGCATCACTGGTTGATAGGACAGCCAGAGAGCAAATTAATTTTAAGTGGATAAATGTAAATTAATGCATTTTGAGTCAAAACCAAGCATGCAATGTACAGTAGGGGATGGTTAAGGGTAAAAGTTTGGTGAAACCGTGATGGAAAGGGATCTCGAATACAAACAAAATTGTGAACTCATCCTGAATGTGCAGATGTTCTAGATTAAAAAGATAAGCAAAATATTTAAGGGGTAAAGAGGACCTGGGCTCTGGAGAATTTCTTTTTTTATATATTTTTTATGTATTAAATGTGGAGAATAGGTAATTAAGGGGAAATAAGATCACCTTGTATATATAT